GTGATGGTAGTGAATTTTGTTCATCTGAAAATCTGGAAAGTTGTTCAAAGTTGTAAAAATAAATGGATTATAATTATGATTAAATAGCATTATTATCATCATTATATTATATGAAAAAATTATTCTTAATTTTTTCTTGTTATGAAAAAATAGTATCGTTACCATGGTAGTTTATAGGTAGTTACAAACCAATTTGCAGTCAATAATAATTTGAAACCAACCTTTACGCTGTAAAAAAATAATAATATTAATATGTGTGTCGTGTGTGGGTCGACAAATGCATCGTGATCGTGTGCTTGAATAATGAATTATAATATTAAATAGAACGTAATATTCGATTACATAATATTATAATATATTATATATTATATTACAAGTAAAATTGAAAAAATATTAAAGGAGTGCTAATAATACATGGCGATCGATTTGACTCTTAAATCGTGTTTTAGTATTATTAAGTAGGTGTAAAATAAGTACGATATCCATTTCGACTTTCTTAATCGAAAAAGTTATCCGAGAGGTTATTACTAGCGGGGCTTGGGTATCTCGTACAAGACGACTAGCGTATTGTGCAGGATTTGAAATTTGTTTTTAACCGCGTCGTCTGCCGAAGAAAAAACGACAAACGCACAGCATTATAATTTATAAATTTATAATAAATAATATTTATATTTTGGTCGGTTGTACCCACATTATATGGGGAGTCGAAAGACGTAAGACGACTCATTGTGCGGCGTAAGTGAAAAAATTTCCCGAAAAGTCGTCGCGCGATGATGTCTTGTGACGACACAGTAAAGTAATAATAATAATGATATATCGTCGAACATTATATATTAAATTGACACCCTCGCCGCGCCGAGGTCGTTCGGAGAAAACCACAAATAATATTATTATTTTATTATTTACGCACCGGAAATGTTCTTTAACCCCGCCGCCGGTGAGTCGGTGTCGATTTCGTTGGGGGCGGGTTAGGGGAGGGTTTCTGGCGCTGAGCGGCGTGGAAAAATTAGAGTCACGTCGTTTCCGCGTACCTATTATTATGTATTATTATATAGAGGAGACCGGAATTAATATATTGTATTATCGCATTGTTTCCGCATAAATGTTACCATTGTTGTAATAATAATAATAATGATATTGTGTGTAGCCAATGGCCCTAGATGCCGAGGCTTTTAAAAAAAAAAAAAAAAAAAAACAATAATATTGTTAGATAATATAGCTAGATTGGGTAGGTATTGTAAAGACCAACTTTTTTCTAACGACAATCGGCGTCGTCGCCGTCGCGTATATAACAATAATCGTAATGTTTCGATGACGGAAAAGCTGCTATGCAGCCGCAAACAACATTTTGAAACAAAATTCTCGACGTATTGACGCGCGGTTTTCATCCCAAACGTCGGCCGCTATTATGTTATATTTCGCGGGGTTAAATAGCCCGAACAATATTACATATTATATTCTGATGTCGCCTCGAATAATGATACTATATAATTGTGAGTGTGTGTGTGTGTGTGTGTGTGTGTGTGTGTGTGTGTGTGTGTGTGTGTGTGTGTGTGTGTGTATAATGTATTACTGTATATTTATTGTATCCGGTTTTTGTTCCGGACATTTCTGCACACAAACTGATGTTGGCTGGTTTTTTTTTTTTAAGAAATCTTTAGTGTGTCATAAATTTTATATTTATATGTCGTTTAACCGGAAAATATCAAGCGGGCCGTTGCTTAACACAGCAATACCGAGTATGTTGAATAATAGTGATCATGACGTGCTGTATACACTTAAACAAAAGACTACGATTTTGGTGTCAAATATAAATTTTTATATTTATACATATTTATATATATAGGTACATAATTATTATGCTTTGGCTTTCTGCATTTGAGAATTATTATTACTGCTCACATTTAATAACAATAGTTATCGAATTGTATTTCGAGAGAGAAAAATTCATGTAATGGACGCTGCTAATTAACCAGCGTATTACGTTGACTTTATTTTTGAGCACACGCTGCCCTTGCACCGCGATATTAAAACAATTTCGGATGAAAGCTTTCAGCTGAATATAATATTATTAGTAAACAATAGTAAGTAGTTATACTTATATTAACAAACGGGGTTTTCGAATTCCGTTGTTCTTCGTGTCATTTGAATTTAATATATTCTCAAACCTTCTGCCGCTTACACCAGTCGCAAGCCGCGAAGGTATGGACGCGAAGTGACATAACTCTGTATCCAGTCAAGGGTTCTCGGGTTTTTAATCGTTTTAACGTTCTATAATATTATATTATTATCGTATTAAAGTACATCACATTTAATTATTACTATAACGACAAAAGTTTTATTAAAATATCAACGAATCACGATTACCGCCATATCGTACGCATTCGTGTACTTATTAACTCATGTTTCAATTCACAAATCGACAGTACTCTAAAAAAATGTTATGTTAACAAAAATATAGCAACGGTTTATTTTGGATTTTATTTATCAGGCGAGTGTTATTGTTAGGTGTTGCTTTCGGTCAATGAAAATAAACATTAATTAATCGAAAAAATAAAATAATAAACATAAAATGTCAAAAACGAATTGATGGTTTATGTAAATTGTATTGTATTACCTCTCACTGTAAATATTGAGCCAATTATAATTTGCGAGCCGAGAGACGATTATTATTGTAGGCTGTGTATACCTACGTTAAAACGATAATAATAAATGTTGCAGTTGAATTTTGGTTCGTTCATCAACAGTATTAAGCCAGTTTTTTATTTTATTTATGAGAAATATATGAAAATTCATTTTTTTAAATATATATATATATATATTATACACACGTCCTATAGTCGTGTAATGCCAAAAATAATAATCCTCGGTGTAGGTACTCCATCAGTCCATCGCATACATAAATAATATACTCAAACCGTTATATTTTATACTGGTTAGTAAAATTAATTTATAATTGTGGCCGTACTACAGAATTAATTTAAAAAAATCGTATTTTGTTGTACACTATATAACGTCTAATATAACGTCAAGACGAAATTATTAAGAGCCTAATCATTCTTGTCACGATCAACAAATCGTTTTGTGCCCCCGTTTACGTTATTCAGATAAAAACAAAAATTAGATCGGTGTTTATATTAATTTATAAATAGTTTTTTTAAAAATTGAATAGTTTCTCCCGAGCCACGAAGGGCGTGAACTGTATTATGCATCACTTCAGAACGTCAAAATGAACCATCCGTAATATATAGTAGTTGCACAAATAACCATAGTGCATATATATTGTTAAACATTCTAATATAAAATTTGAGGAATCTAGTTCAAAACTGACATTATTTCACGTTTAACATAAACGGATCTGTGCGCATATAATAATAACGTCTATAACCCGAGGCCTCGGTGAGAGTATGGAACTTTCGATTCGATAAAAACGGTACCCATACCGTATCTCTCATTTTTGAAAAAAAAAATATAAAATAACGTATCATTCCGTTTATCTATATTAAAATGTATGAGTTTTATCCTTAGAGCAGTATCATGTAGAGATAACATTCTGATCTAAGATTGTACGGCAGCAGTGTAGTCGGTCGCATGGCCTGTAACATTTTGAACGCTTTCGGCATAACGTCAATCGTCCGATCGACGACGATTATTTAAGTGGGCGTATACGAAAATTGTTCAGGTGGCGTATAGAACTGTAAACAATATTCAATTTTTCAATAATAATGTTTGTTTTTACGAAATCAGAAAATCATACAACTCTTTTCAGAAGAAACATTTTTTTTTTAAATTTAAACTCTGCATAACAATTATAGTTTCAACAGTTATAGCAGGTAGGTAGTCGAAATTTTAATATTGGAAAATCGCACCAAGTATGTCTAATTATCTCTGTTTAAATTGGTCGAATTTCCAATGCCAAGTTATACGTATACAATGGAAGATTCAGGTTCATCGACGTTTTCAAAAAAATCATCTACCTTATACAGTTTAGACTTAGAAAACAGTTATTTGATGTAAATAATATTTGAAAAAATGAAGTTTTTTACATCGCCCTCGGAGGACATTCCTAATTAAATGGTATAGAAAAGTATAAATGGACTAATGAAAGCACGGCGGAGCTCGCGTATTGTTATTAGTTGTGGGTAAAATATAGGTGGCTGTACTTAAAAATTTCAAAAATCGGAGTTTGAACCGATTCGTCGTTCAATACATAAGACGAACAATGGGGGTGGAACATGCTTGTTGAATCGTCCTGTACGCGTAATCATATAATGTAATATAATAAAATATATATTATGTAGATATTATACGGCCTTTTTGACTCACGGGTATCTCATGGCCAAAGAAGACCCTCCATCATGCCCGACGTGCGAAACAATCATCACAGTCAAACGCGCACTTGCGGAATGTCGAAAGTTCATCGAAAGGCGCATTGAGCTAAAACTTCCCGAGACACTATACGAGATGCTGGCACCCACTCCTGAGACGACCAAAAGACTCTTCAATCTCATCAACTCAACAGAAGAACTGCGTCAACTGATTTAAATATTTGTACCTACTATTTGGTCGAAATACATTTGTAAATATATAGGTAGGTACAACTAGTAGAAATCAAGATATAGTATGTGAGCAATCGATGTAAAAATGTAAACATTTAACGCCGGCTAATAACCTCGCGGTTCAAAAAAAAAAAAAAAAAAAAAAAAATATACGGCCTTTTTTTTTTTTTTTTTGATTTCCGTCTACGAACACCGGGCCTGCATTATACGATTACTCGCGAAATCATATCGTCGTATTACATACGAGATATTAATATTAATATCACATTATATAATATAATATATAGACTGATCATCACTGCCCGATGTCGGACGGGGAAGAGCGACGGATTTTTAAACAGAAACGCCGTCGGACGCGTATCGTTATCGTCGTCGCGTACACATGATATTACCTGTCGGCCGCAGTCGCACACGCGTCGTGTGTCCGAGCGCTTGCGTATTCGGTCGCCGCCACACGTATATTATAGTTTCCGGTCGTTCGCCGCACGAAGAAAAACGCCGCTCCGCCACCGCCGCCGACGGTTCAGTAACGCCGTTGCCGCGAACGTGTGCCCACCACCGCAGTCTTCCGGTGTGTCGCGCGCCGACCGATTTCTGACTCCGTCTCGCCGGCGCGACAGTTCGTGAATCCGCATACGGCACACCGCGCGTCGTCGTCGTCGTCGTCGCTATCGACGATTCCGTACTGCCTATCTTCTCCCCCCACCCCCGATTATCAACCACCCCGGCACAGTTTTTATCGGTTTAATTTTTTTTGGAATATCGATTTATTTCTTTTACACATCGATCACGGCCGACGAGACGCCGGCACGAGTCCGATCCGAAATCAGGTAATAATATAATTTATCAATACGAAAATATTAATCGTGTACGACGTACACGACGATGACGATACACTTGTACATAATTAATAATTATATTTCTATAGGTGTACATGACTATATTTTAAACCAATCGCTTTTTTTTTTCGTCGTCGTCGTCTCAAAGTTCCGATAGGGATTGCACGCCATCGACACATTTCCGATGGTCAATATTATAATATTATTGTCGTGTCGCGATGCGTCTATGCGTTATGTTTTTTATTTATAAAATACATACTTTATTTATAAGCAACCGCTAGACACACAACTTGATGAAACGCATCACTTATTGAAAACCCGTGTCGGTTTTATTGCTCGGTTGCCTGGTTAAAGAAAATGGGCCCTCTATTTGATAAATCGTTCAAAAATATATTTTAGTAAATTACTTTTTTTTTAATATTATACACTTAAAAACTATAGTTGATTACTTAGCAGGTACATATTATACCTTTTTATATGATCCGTTTAGCTTAAAATCAAAAATTAATATGTCAGTTCCAAATTACTGGCTGCAACAGGCAATATTACATAAATACAATTATGCACACTAACGATGATGAAGCATCCCGTAAAATAATTGTTTCGCTATATCTTACATTATAAATATAATAAAGGTAGGTACAACAAGGGACTTCGCTTCACGCCACTATATTACACGTTATTTTATAATTTATTCTTGAAAGCAAACTATAAGTGGTACTGAGTGTACGAATATAGTTCGGTAATAATAGATGTTTTCATACTGAAACAGCTGTTATTGAAATTAAAAAAATGTTTTTCTAGGCAATTCAATCATTTGGCTTTTCTGAAATAATCTTAGGTCTCGTATTTTAAGGGTTAAAGGGGCCTTTAGGGGACGGCCCTAAAAATGTGGGTCCGGGACGAAAATTTCCTTACCGAAATCCTCCGTACAATCGGCTCTGGCCGCCACTGCGGTTTAAAACCGTTCGGGAGAAAATCAACATAGAACGTTGGTTATGCATAATAGTTGTATCTTAATAATATATCATAAATTAATCACACTTTTTGCACCGAGTCGATTGGTATCGTTTCAACAACTACTGTACGCGCACAACAGAAATCCGCACGTGTGCGTAATGCCACTTGAGAACATTATCACATAATACTATATAATTCATTGTTTAGGAAAGTACCTGCAGGTTGGGCTATTACAGGTGTAAGTGCCTAACTAATCGCTCGAGGAATCGTTTTTTACAGTACGAATTTCGTCGGTCCGATTGTTATAACAGTGTAATATTATTATAACGGACGTTATCCGTCGGCCGCATTGTTGTCTGCGCAAAGGTTTAAAGAGTCCAAAGACGCTTATTGCTGCGTGCGATTGCGTCTGGACTGTAAACGTCCTTCGTACTTCTCGTGATTACAATAATCCTGCCCCCCCCTCCCCACCAATGTTTCCTAAATCTGTTGCTGACGCAGACACGAATGTCTAATCTCGTACTTCTATGTTGTATCCGGCATCCTGACTGCAGGTAAAATAATATCTGCTCTGCAAAACTTCTAAACTGCAGCCACACCATTCCTTTCACACACAGTACCTACCGTGTTATAACGTTATGCGCTCGCTATATAACCACCTATACCACCCGTGTCACCGTCCCACGTCCTTACGGTATCTCACTTCTAACCGTTCTTACGATTCCCATGTATTTTATCCGGTATAATATTATGCGCACTGCGAATCATCACGCACACCCGCAGTGCCACGTCAACTCCGACTCCACATCAGCAGCTGTCATCCCGTGCTGTGCCGTAAAAATCGACCTACTGTACAAAAATATATAAATGTGAATAAGTAGATACAGTAATAATTTACCACTCAAAACGTGCCGACAGTGCCGAAAGACAAAACGTTTCGGCCCGGTACAAAAGCCGCTTCAATTATTATTATTATTATTATTATTATTATTGTTATTATCGTCGCCAATAAAATAAAACCATTAAACCCGTCCGCTGCCTGCGGTACACTCGGTACAGATAAGCTTCGCCGTTTGGCGCCATCGCTCTTAATATCTGAAATATAATATAATATAGTTGACAGGGAATTTTTACCAAATGTCAATACGAAATATTATTAACATTTCATTGTTGATAGACGCGCATTTGTACAATGGGTAGGTAAGTAACGCTGTTAGGAATATTATTTACATTCATTATACACATCGATTAATCTGCAGGATTTAATAATTAATGTGTACCCGTTTTATAATATTATATTTCAATGGTCCAAGTTTATTTTTTTTTCATTTGCACACAGCTTGACACGCAATATTCATAAATAAACGATCAGCGTAATTGGCTTTAAAATAATCGATTATTATATATTTCATACTATCAAAAAATAATTAAGATATTCAGTATTTAGGTACCTATATCCGATATTCTATTATATAATCGAAAATGAATAACATTGCGATAGTCTTACCGAATATATTATGATGTGAACTAATTTCATAACAATTTATTCTCTAATTATGCAAATAAATTAAAAAATGTATAATATTATACAAATATTTGAATATTTTAAAATTTTTTTTTTTAATAGAGTCAACTCAATATTTATCATTGAGGTAAGTGTAAAATCAATTTTGATTCAATCGTTGATCCATTATATTTATTATCTATCATATAGTCATTTTTATTTATAAAAAGCAAGTATAGAACATAAGACGAACCACCATATAATTGCTTTTTACGATAAAATAACAAAAAAATAATATGTATTTCAGACGTTTAATTGAGGAATAAATCACGTTTTTATTTAATTTGAGACTACAAGTCTACATTTTGTTTTAATTAAAATTGTAATTATAAATAAATTAGTGAATTTATAACTACGAATCTATAAATGTAATTTATGTTTATTAAGATAATGAATAGATAATGAATACAGAAATCAATGTTAAACAATTATTTGAAGAACTTTGAGGTACAAGGCTAAATGGTTTATATACATAATAATATATAATATAAGTATTATTAAATTCATCCCCACAACTATAATTAATAACATTATTGTTGGTATTTGTCATACTATTTAATTAAACTATTAAATTTTGGATTGTATGTCTTATTACATCTTAAATTTTAATATTGATAAAATAAAAACGAAAGAAGTTTTGTTCATATAAAATAAACAAAGTTAAATTTGTATTTATACACTTTCGTTCGTATTGTCTAATTATTGTACTGCTCGAGTTAGAATTCCATTTAACGACAGCTGCCAAATGTCATATGGACAAATACTTTGGTGGTCCGTCCGTCCGTCTTTCCCTTTTTTTTCTTTTTTTTTTCACCGGACCGATTTAGATTGTTTTATTTTTTTTTTATTGAAAAGAGGAGGACGTCCTACGAGCCCCACTTTAAATTAAATTCATTTATAAAAAAAAAAACCGTTCAATTTGTTTGGTGTACCTGTAATTAAAAAGGGAACTTCAACGAAATCGTGATATAATGTAAATACGTTTATACTTTCAACATAAAATACATTTTTCAATATCAGTCTAATGTTAAAGTTTACAATAATAATTCATTACAAGCCAATAAAGTTCAGGATTAATGATAATATTGATAGGAAACGGTTGCTTTCATCTTACATTTGTATTATTTTTATCTATTCGAACATGAACAGTGTGCATCTAAAAATTAAAATTAAATATTATTTTTAAATGCACTTATATTCTAAAGGACTTGTTAATATTCTTATGCGTATAATAATTATTAAACTTACTCGCAGTATCCTAATATATTATAGACATTTTATTTAACTACGTTTAACACGAATCACTATAAAAATACATTTTGATTAAAAAAAGTATGTTACGTTATATTTTAACTGTTGCCTTATGGCTTATGTTATTAAAAAAAAAAAATGCCTTTAGTAAAGTAAACTAATTTTACCGAAAAATCATTGAAAATTTAAATTTAAAATGAGATTTTATTATTAAACATTTTTAAATTTTGTCTAGACAAAAATATTTTTTTTCTCTTGAAAAATTGCACCGATTTACTGAAGTTAAAGTTTATGCGGGTTTTGATCAAGTGTTTCATTTCAGACTTACTGAGGAGCGATGAAATACTTCAATATTCATCGAGTTTAAATCAATTTTGTTTTTTTATATTATTTTAAAACAATAATGAGTATAAATATTTTAGCCTTCTTTTCAGCTGTTAACAAATGTTGTAAGTGTTCTACTTTTTTTTATGTCTTTAACACTGTCTTGTTTATATGTCAAAATGTTTGGAAATGCAGTACAAGATTCCTTGTAATAATTATGTAAATCTTACTGTAATTTAAGAATCTACACAACAATATATATATAATATGATATAATATTTAATTATTATTGTATAATTAATGAGCTTTTTTTGCCAACAATTTGTAAAACAGTAATATTAATATGTTTATAGTGAATATGATTAATAGAAAAATGAATGATTAACATTAAAATAATATATATTCTTTACTTAAAATACACAATAATATATACGGTAAAGGTATTAATATTATTGTAAATGATATTTACAGAAAACAGCTTAACATTAATTAAAAACCTTCGTTTGGAGAAACCACCCCCTGAAGACACCGTTCTCTATAATAGTGGTAATAGTAAAATAAATAAATTATAAAATATCCTAAAATACAGTTCGACTCAGGGTCTTCGATCAGAATCGTTTTTCGAATTTATTGATTGATTTCAAATGTAACACTCATCCATTACAGTGATTCAAAGATGAGGTTCGCCTGAAACTTACTATACACATCAGAGCGAATTCCTAGGTTTTTTAATTTCAAAAAAATGACTTAATATTTATAGGCCCAAAACTCCCATTTTTTTTTTTTTTGAATATTGATAACAATAAATTTAAACCGCAAACGATGATGAAGTCTTTGAAACTATAATTTTGAAAGTATTTTACAAAGGTTCTTTTTACCGAATTGTAGTAAACACTTCGATTGTCATTTTTATTTCTATAGTGATTTTCGACTATCTGGAAGGTGGCTGATATTATGTAAACGTTACAGCATTGTTATTATGGAACGAATCGCTTTAACTTTGCGACTTTATAAAAAATAGCTTTACCGAGCCACCTAACTAGATTTCAGACAGAGTGAATAAAACGGATTAGCTAAACATTTTAGAATAAACTTTTCGGACGTCGTCTGGCAAAATGTTCAATGTCTACAAAATATCATATTTTGTTTTAGTTTCCTATACCTATAATAATAGTTCAATTATTATGCAATAGACTTTAATAGAAGAAGTCATAGCTATGAACATTCAATAGTGATTTGATCCATTATATTATATAGTCACAGTTATATCATAGTCGTTATAATATACGAAGTCTGCACAATGTACATTGATCGGATGCGATCTGAAAAACATTTGTCTTGAACGGTGTACAGTTAGACCATAACACGTGTATTGTGATGGATTATTGAAATATTCTGCACATAACGGCTAAATATAGCGATCCGAGTGTTACACTCGCATATAATGTAATGCATTTAGAAAAACCATTTGTTACGTATTATTTGTGTGTGCCATATTGTGATGTGCAAAATATTCTATGGTATAGGGAACACAATTTCAGCGAAATTCACGTTGTCTCAGAACGTCGTCGGTGCATGGCATATTCTGCGAATTGTTTGAATATCTGTTCGGTTCCTGTTTACGGTCGCGGACATATCTGCGTTGGAAAATATAGTCGTTAATATACGAATTGCGTTTCGAAATTGCGAGTCAAAAAATTGCACGGAAAAACAATGTGGAATCGTGCACACCCCCGACGGCAATCGACGAACGTTATAAACCGGAATTTTTCGCGTCCTTAAATCCAAAGATTCCGATTGCGTACTGTAACGTGCACGTAGTCGAGCACCTTAAATAAATGTAAGTACATAGTTTAGTCGTCAATTTTGTTCATATACATAAGACATTTAGTCGAGTCGACTGTAAACAATAATGTATTATGACATCAAGTAATTATATGTTATGATGTACATACGTAGCCTTTTGAGAAATATCGTTTTACGATTTCATTTTTAATTCAATTGAATCGCGCAATGTATTGTTATTATACCTTCCCGTTGTATTCAAATCTCGTTGTTTATTACTATCGGGTGTACTCGTTTAATGAATTATTGGACATTTCCATTCGCCCGTTATTGTTACACATAAAATATATTGATTGCAAATGTGTAGATAAATTTAAATTTAAAATACGTCCTATTATTGTTAATGATGTGACCTTAGATATTTGTATTTAACTGAGCACAGGTAGTGAAAATATTCTATTAAATGTAATGTTTCAAACACACGGCCACAGGTAGTTGAACAACTGTTTAAACGCTTTGATATTCGGTACAAGAGGTGTTCTATTGGTGTACTTACGTGGCTAAGTGTGGTACTCGGAGACAATGTAACTTGGGTGAATCGTATTTTCTCCCATGTCTGATATAATCTCCATAATATACAGTTAGTCAACTATGCGATTTTATAACTAGTTGTGACACGATACTTAATTGAATATTCTCCTTTTAAATTAAAAACTGAATAATAACCTTATAATATAGTAATAATACCTGCAAACATTGTGTTTAATGATATAATAGTTTGATAAATTACAAAAACAAAAACTATTCACATTATCATATCACACCGACTTGATGTGCGTTACTGAAATAATTGAAAATATGAAATTATCGAGCGACTTTATCACGCGGTGATTTGGTACTATATGTTTAAAATATTAAGACATTGCTTTAATAATTATATTGTTGTAATATAATCATTGAAATTTGAATTTTCCCGGGAAAAGACTTACGACAATACTGCAATAGCTCACAATTTAAACTGCATACGCTTTGAACATTAAACTCGCTGGTGTCCGCCGAAATCAACATATTTTTATCGTTTAACGGATTATACGTTTAACTGCAGTAATAGCAAATATATTATTATGTTTTGTTTTGAGACGAAGATCAAATTGCGTTTTGCTCGGAACGGCGGCAGTGTAGTTGGCACTTGCTTTTTGATATGAAATATCCACTTGAAACATTAAAGTTCAGCTAGCAGTAGACTTTGGAAATAATAATAAAAAACAAATACATATATATTTTATTTTTCTGTGTGTGTGTGTGTGTGTGTGTGTGTGTGTGTGTGTGTGTAATAACATTCCGGACCGGCGAGAAAACAGGTATAGGTTTTTATTACAAAACCTATATAGGTTTGCAGTTCAAAACTAGTGTTTACCATTTCTGGACGTGATGGTTATACGAGAACGTGATATAACGTTTATAAATTGGATATCCATGTCCCCGTTCAAAGAAGTGAAAAAAAAAAAATCAAAACGTAAGGTTCACCACCCAAAGCTGCGGAGAACGGTAGACATTATATACGCGAGAACGTGGTTTGACGTTTTTTCGGTTCGTGTCTAAAAAATAAAAAAAAACCTCCTCCACGGTCGCTTATACACGTATATATATATATATATATATAGACAAGTTTTTTTTAATGCTCCCGCCCCAAACCCGATTATTGTTATTGTCAGTAAAATATATATCACTTTCCCCCTCCACGAATAATAGAAGCCTTAGACGGGCAATCCTCTCGATCTGTTGTTCGATATGCGGTAAACGCAGTCGTCGCACTATAATTGCGCACAAGTCTTGTTACCCATCCGAATGTCATGTGCTGTTGTCGATTCGTCAATTTTCCATTACGGACAATATTATATAATGCGAGAGCAGAGGAACGCCCGTTGCGTCCGCCGGTCCACATACCCAGCACACACTCGACATTTGCGAATTTTCCACATTATTTATGCTTGGGTAAAATGTTAAAAAAAACAACTCTTCGGTCTTTACAAACGCGCACTGACAATAATATTACGCATTCGCGGCAGACATCGGTCAGACATAACGATATCATGACGACAATCGTCTAGCACTGCATTTCGGAATAATAATAATTGTTATTATTAGTGTTATGCATATAGTTGGTGGTTACACGCGTCTTGTCGTGCTTGAGATCAGAGTATAAATACGCACACACATATATATGTATATATTGTATAATAATTAGTATGACTGCCTCGCGGGTCTTAAATAATTTTATAACCCGAGACACTCGGCACGTCTTGTACGGTCGTTTTTCGGTCGACTGTTTTTGTGTTTCGGTTTTCGAAAACAATTAATAAATAAGGGGCGATCATAAATAACTATACCGGTAAACTGTTTCGCTGTTCGAGGGTTACACGTCTCGAAAATAATTTCAAGAGGATAAGTATTGCACAAACGGATATTCAGATTGATATATATGTTTAGTTTTTTTTTTTTTTCGCGGTCTATTACGCGGGTGCGCACGTTGTACCGCACACAAGTATATAAGTTTCCGTTATTTATTTCTCAAGTTTTCTTTTGTACGACCCCATAACAAGAGGCAACACATGTATTCCCGTAATATCATTTGTAAATCAAAGGCCTCATCATCGCAACCCCCCCCCCCCCCACACACACACACCGGTCGCGCTTTTCTGGTTTTGCACTCCGACTCCGCCGACGAAGTTCGCGGCAGCCCAACTTTGCCCTTTTGTTCAATGACCTGTGTGTATATATGTTCCGTGCATACTGTACTCCTGCAGGACTTGCGGCGTCGTCCTTGTTTCCTGCAAAGTTCAAACACACATTATTTTGATTCGCTCGCGCGTTACGTCCAATCCGAATCGTAGTCCGACGTGCAGCACAACGCAGTAACGGCATGTAAGTATTTCGCCCCCCCCCTCTCGCTCACCAACACTGCGCACGTCGAAAACACCTCGCAACAACAGCAATAATAATAATTATTGCGAGATTGTTAGGTTCGCGATTCCTAACGACGTTTTCGTTTGCAGGTTACACGGTATGACCATATAGCGGACCTTATACCGCTAGACAAGCGACGGGTGTGTGTACACGACGGAAAACGGCAAACCATCATCGTAGAGGGCGCTTTTCGTTTACTCTGAAATATCCACGGTAGTGCGGGACAGCCGAGGGTAAGATATACAATACAGATTGTCGCATTTTTTTCGTCAAGACCGATTATCATATAGGTCAGTGAGAGACGTTTTACCGCCGCTCGTAATATTATGATGTCGTTACGCGTACAGTTCTCTTGTATATTTGCCGGACTGGCGAGTTGCCGGCTGAAATTCGGTGACGATTTTGGGGCCGTTCGAGTCGTGACAGGCCGCTGACCTAAAATATGTTAAGGTTTAAAGAAATCGAGACCAACGTCGGACTGCGCAGACCACAGTTGTACGTGCAGGTTGTTGACATTCAGCAAGTGAGCCGATGCAAGTGTTTTTTGCAAGTGAGCCGATACAGTGCGGAAAATTCGGTGGGCCCATAATTCGTCCAATCCAGCCCCGGTAGGGTAGTTCAAGGTCAATTGGCGTATAACACATTTTAATGGTGGTTTTAAACCCCGGCTATGAAATTGGATTCAGTACCGTGGCCAAAACCCTAAAGCCCCCCCCCTAGCTACGCAGTGATTGGTTCTATATACAATACCATGATATACCGCAGTTGAACAGTTGTTCCAGCTCCTGCAGTTACATACTTATAATATATGTTATTGTATAATATTTAATCTCTTTGAATTTTTTTTCGTACTTCGAGATTATTCTCCACACGTATTGCCGAAGAACGTTCCGACTTTCCAAGTATTTCCCAGTTCCTTTGAAGTACACACAGGCATATGCAGTCGGATAAACGTCGATATTCGTAGGTATACGCTCTTGTTCAGAGTAGTTCTGGGCAATACATAATAGTATATCCGTCGAACGGAGTCAATTATCATAATAAATAGGTTTTTTTCGGTTAACTCAATACTCTTGTGCGATTCCTGTGCAAAGGCAGGTTTCCGCACGCCGTACTTACAAAGTAGGCATAAAACATTTTTTTTTTTTTTGTAAAATTTCAGAAATTTCTTCGAAATCACATAATAATATAACACCGAAAGATCAGTGCGATTCACGCGAACTATAAGTTTTTAGCACAAAAATATCCCCCGGCACCTTCAATCGGAACTTTACTGTCATTGATCGATGCACCTTTGCGCCTATGGTGCGCCATGGTTAATGATCGTTGGATTTTTCCTGCCGGTTTTGTCGTTCAGTATCGTTAACCGAACCCTACAGGCATCGTGGAATTTATGGTTCAGAGGAAAATCGTGTGTGGTAGCGAGTTGTTGTGCACAGATTACGGTCGAGGGGTATAATGTTGGTGTGTTGGCCGATCGAGTCAAATCGTAATTATCACGTCTTGATTGATGTGTTTGGAGCAGATCAAGCCCAACGCAAATGTTGGTCCGAAATCGTGCAGTATTTACGCCGCAGACGGCGATGATTATTATTTTAAATTTGTTATTCTGGTGTCTGGTCGAAGCCAGTGGGTTGTTGAGTGTATTATACGGGTCGAATGGGTTCGGCGTGGGACATTCAAGGGCCAGTTTTCGGGGGTGCTGCTTCAATATTACAGTTTCATTAGCGTCATTTTGAGGCGACATTTTTAAAAGGTTTGTAAACAGGTGAGAATGCAACCTTACTTTCCTTAATAAGCTTTTAAGTTCACCGACGGTCAACATATTCTCATTGAGCAGCAGTAATCAAACGAGTGGGTATAATGAACGTATAAGGCTTTTGATGTCTTGTGCTAACATCACGGACGACCCTTCATTTAATTTTTATCTCTAAAATTGTGTTTATGTTTATCTTACCATGTTTCTCGCGGAACCATCATTGCGAAGAGGCTCGGATCGTATATTATATTTTGCAGTACACAATAGTTTGGATGAACTTTGTCGGTAATTTTTACTTTTGCGCCTACGCTACGCGAATTAAAACAAACATTTTCAAAAATATTATATTACAAAACGCACGTCACGCGTATCCTGTAGCATTCATATTTTAAAACGATATTTCGTGGCGGACTAGGAGTGCAGCACAAAATATCGTATCAAACACTACAAAGTGGTGTTTGCAATCTATATTTACATGGTAAATACATCTCACACATATTTTAATATTAGACGTAACAGTTGGAACGCACCATTCAGGTATCTATTTTTAAATACTATTATGAAATAACTTATGAGTTAAGACCACACATAAAACTATTCCAGAACTATCGGTGTCGACGCTATATGATGGTTGCGATCGTAGAAAATAGTAATATACATTATCTTCGGTCAAATCTTTTTAGCCTTTTGCAACAGATATCTGCGGTCGACTGCGGGAAGTAGGGCGAGCGGAACACTATTGCCGCAGTTGGTCACTTAATTGGTCAATAATTACAAAAATCGGCTCTAATACTGCCCGGATGCATTTTGTTGTCGTAACAATATGTTATAGTTTTTTTTTTTTTAATGCATTTGTAGGATACTAACATCTACACGCGAACATTTGACTCAACGTGTTGATTTTTTTGATTTTTTTGTTGAATAAATCGTCTTTTGTACGAGACCATCGACCGGCGTTCGAATTCACGTCGACGTCTTTGTTCTATGTCGGCGAGCGAAAAAACGAAACTCAAAAACAGAAATGTGTAGAAAGACAAAGAAACCGACGTAAAATAATGATATGTCCAATGGGCGACGTGTGCTAGCGAGAATTAATATTTTGACTTGTCGTATTGCTGCACCTCTACGCCATGTATTGGCGAGAGAGAAAGCGGTCACCCAAAAGTCGAAATAATACGACGGTGGCAAATCCATGTAAGGAATAGAAAAAAATCTAAATCTAAGTATATATATATATATATGTTACGGGCAATGTGGTCCCGCCTGGGCAATGTAAACGTCATTGCCCAGTCAATGTGGTCCTGCCCAGGAAATGTAAACGACGAATTTTTTTTTAACCAACTTATATTATTTTCGATTATTATTATAAATTATAATTATTACCTATTTATAGCATTGATTTTTTTTTTAAACATCATTATTAATTTTATTCATGTGTCATAATATAATTACGAATATTTTCTGCTTTTCTACACTTGGTTCTTAAATAGGCAATACGATAAGTAACAAAAATAATTTCATACGCAGTGTTGAAAAAATTCCTAGTTTATTGTATTATGATACATCGATACACGAATAAGATAGATGACGGTTGTTTAAAAAAAAAAATCAATAATGTCAGTAGTAGGTATAATATAATTATAATTTATAATAATATTAAAAAATAATATTAGTTGGTTAAAGAGAAAAATTCGTGGTTTACATTGCCCGTAACGTAATATAAATAAATAAACGTACTTGCATATGAGGCTTATAGACTTTGAGACTACGACTGAACTGTGCACACATAGGACTTACCACTCGCGGGGTGTAGTTCGTTTCGATTTTTAATCCCTATTGGTCGCTATGAGGTGGCTCACACGTGCATTTGGTTTCTTTTAAAATCATATTTGATGTTGCGTTGTCGTTCAATATGATTTATTGTACATCAAAAGCCAATGTCCGTATGTGGCTTAAAGACTCGATAACTGCCCCGAAGATTTTGACGACCATTTTACTGATGACTCTTCGGGATACCAGGAAAGTTTAGAAACAGTAGTTATAACCACGATTAAAAATACACCGATACCTGTACAGCTAGATTTCCAATCTCGGTCGGATTAGTTCAAAAAAAAAAATAATTTTGTATTAAGATTACATCATGATATTTCAAATTCACGATTAAACATTACTGTATCAACATTGAAATACTTCAACAATTGTTGTTGTATAATGCCTTGTTAATACAAAATTAGACAAGGCCATGGTAGAACAAATTATGAATCATTTTTCGACCACGAAAGATAACTAAATTAATTAATGTTTATTAAGCCACGCAGTTATTCATGTATGGTGCCGACTGCCGAGCTTATTTGCATCTATTTTGTGAAAATTATTACTTTTTAATTATTAATATAGTATTATAATCATTAATATAGTATTTTAAAAAGATCATGTTTTGAACGGCTAATTATGTATTTCATATTTTTTGTGAATTAGTCTGAAACAAAAATGACGGTTTCATTATTATTTGGTTTAAGTTAAATAAATAGGAGCAATAAGAATTCAGCTGTAAAGCGTTTTTCAACAATATAAAATATTATACATAATGAAAAAATAAACAAAACTGTTTATTAAAAATTAACACTGAACAACAAAGAAATGGTTGTTTTTCGCAATATTTGTTTTAAATATAATAGAGGTATTGTTATTTAATAATAAAAGACAAAAAGGTTAGAAATTACAATTTAATATCGACACAAATGTATTATATTAATTTGATGTCTATTTGATGTCAATTACTCAAGAGGTTTTTTTGTTAGTAGATATGTGTTTAAATATACCATATTTAGTGGTTGAGATCATAACAATTTCTCGAAAATGAAATTTATCTTAACATTTTTTAAAACTGTTATTTACGTTTTAAACATTTTGAGCGTTTTTGACACGTCATGTGCCATGGAATAAATTTAGCTCTCGTCCGCTGCATTTTACAACTACGAATTTTTGTAATATTTCGATATTTAAAATTTGGTATTTTCATTGAACTCGGTGCATACTCGTTTTAGATATCTATATTAGATTTCAATTTCCGCTATCCAGACATTTCTGATCATAGAAATATTTTATTAATAATTATTAATAGGTATAAAAACATTCTAACTCACAAATTGTCTGTTAGAAAATATGTTGAATTTTCCACGCATTTAAAATGTAATAATCGGAATATTTTATTCAATTTATCAACGTTAAGAAAATTATATATTTTATGAATTGCGAGATTAATATCATCTGGAAAATGTTCGCATAAATTAAATACAATAAACATCAAAGAGTATAAATTATATTTACAGCCGTGATAAGAAATAAATATTTGTTTCATCTTGTAATTGAACATGAAATATTTACCGCGTAATATATATATAATATATATGTGTATATGTTCCACGCATAAATTTATTTTTATTTTTGTGGATTAAAATTAATTTGCGACTC